GAAGGGTCCCGTTTATCCTACCCTTCATCTCAAATGATATAAGTACAGCTACAAAACGCTGCTTAAGAAGGGCGGGCTTAGAGAATTCGGTGAGTGTAGTTGAAATACCAATGAGTAATCTTAAGCGCCAGCTAGTTCGTAACCGCCTATATGACCATGTGCAACTCAAAATTGCATAATTTGCCCCAGTGGTAGAGACGGTGATTGCATGAGCTCGGGTATAGTTTATCTGATCTCTTGTAAGACGTGTGGTGACGAATACATTGGCGAAACGGGTAGACCCCTCTGTGTCCGCATGAAAGAACACCTAGCCGGCAAAAATAGACCAAATACCCCGCTAGGCACGCATAAGACCCAGAGACATAACGGGGAGGACTTTGAAGTATTTGTCACGATCCTCGCACGCGAATCAAGAACACAGGCGCGAAAAACTCTTGAGGCACTCTGGATTAATTCCAGAAATCCGAAAATGAACCGCAGGGAAGAATGCCTCATTATCACGCGTGATATAGGGCAGTATATAAAACTGCTTTTCTGATGTGAGGGGCACATTATACTTCCACGTGATTTCTGTGCGGTTGGTCTCTACGTGACATACTTAGTGGGAACCTCATAGGAAGCGGTGAGTGTGCAAAGCTGTGTTCAAAGTGATTGAAATCTTGGTTTGGGGTTTCTTTGTTTGGTTATGGAGGCGTCTGGCCGAGTAGATTGCTATCAACTTGACTTTTCCAGGCTCTGAGGAAGGCGAAATCCGCCGAAACGTCAGCTTGTGCGTAAATAAAGAAGTAAAATAGCACCTCGTGTTTGCTGAACAGAAGTAGAAGGTAAATAATAAGTTAAAATATGTGCAGAGCCTTTTCCGTCACTGGCATCTGTTCTGTCTGACTAGTACGCGTTGTTATGAGGTCGATGCCGTGAGTAAATAGAAGATCGTGACTAAAACGGTTTCTCTCGGTATTTCAACACTGCGCATGAAATAAAATATTTTCGTCCAGTCGCGTCTCATTTATCGCGCTCGATGGAACGGCACTCTCAGTTTCGAGGTCGAGGATCTCCACCATAGCCTATCCATTTCCCACTACACCTCCATCCTCTCTCCACAACCATTTACACCGTATCTAGCAAGCATACATAATATATTTACAACACTCCCACTTTCACTGATTCTGAGATATTTGCAAAACTCCAGACTGCAGGCGTCTGCGGTGGGGAACGAACGCGTTATTACTCTTTCTGGGGGCTAACGCGTCCAACACCACACTATTATAACTACAGCTTCGGCTTAACTAGGTTCATTGCAGATTTGGGCTCTCTAGATCAATCACTTTGACGGGCGACTGTTGATGGCATTGATTGATAGAACTAGCTGGGAGACAGGCGAAGCGAAGGACAATGGTGTGGTAGTGAACGCATTAGCCTCCGGAAAGGGTAATAGCGCGTTCGTTCCTCACCGCAGACACCTGTGGTCCGGAGTTTTGCAAATATCTCAGCATCATTGAAGTTATACTTCGCAATACACCCTGCCATTAAAAACAGTAGGCAATAAATAATGAGTTAAAATGATAACATGGTTCCGGAAATTCCTTTCCAATGATTTCGACCTCGAAGATAATGAGGGTCGCGGACGTCCCAATGAACTTGAAGACGACGAAATGAAAGCACTAGTGGAAGCAAACATGCGAACAACTGCTCGAGAGCTTCCAGAACAGTTTGGCGGAAGCACAGGAACAATTCCCACTCACTTGAATCGCATTGGAAAGACAGAAAAAATTGACAAGTGGGTGCCATACAAATTATACGGTAGTTTAAAAAGTAGCCGTTTTGAAGTGTTGTCTGTCCTATTCGAAGTGCCTTATTCTGCGCAACAAAAACGACCCTTTTCCTAATCGAACTGTGACGTGCAACGAGAAATGGATTCCGTGCAACCGACGACGGTCAGCTCAATGGGTGGATTGCGATCGCGCTCCACAGCACTTCCTAACGCCAAAGTTGCACCGAAAAAAAGGTTATGGTGACTGTTTCGGGTCTGCAACCGGGCTGATTTATCACCGCTTTTTGTAACCGGGCGAAACGATTACGCCATAGAAGTATTGCGAACAAATCGACGAAATACACCGTAAACTCCAACAACAACGACCGGCAAGAGTCAACAAAAGACGACCATTTCTTTCACTCAACGCCCGGCCTCACGTTGCGGAACCAGCGCTGCAGAAGTTGGACGAGTTGAGGTACGAAACCTTGCCTCATCCGCCACATTTACCAGGCCTCTCGCCTACTGACTATCACTTCTTCAAGCATCTTGAAAACATTCTGCGCGAGAAATGCTTCACCATCCACGATGACGCAAAAAATGCCTTCAACAAATTCATCGCCTCCAGAACTCCAGAATTTTATGCAACTGGAATAAGCAAATTTGTTTCTAGTTGGCAAAAATGTCTAGATTCAAATGGTTTTTATCTTGATTAAGAAAAAAAAAATAAAAAATTTTTGTTTGAAGCAGAATATAACATTATAAATAATGTATTTAAAAACGCCCATTTGATTCTAAACAATCTAGTAGTGACATGGTCAGAAACCTCCCTCTGATCCACAATGGCGCCAACTGCCTGTGGCGGTGACCATCTGAGGCAGATTGTACTGGGGGCCGCATAACCAGTGACTACGGGCCATCCAAGTATCCAAGTAGGTATTCTCAAAAACCAGCAAGCCCATAAACGCTTAAAATGGGCGTCGTGGTAAACCTATTATTTGTGTTCCCGTGAACGATCACAATCGACATAATGAAGAACAATTTCCTGTGCATGAGTACTCCTCCACGTTTACTTAGTTATCAGTGAGAAATATGTTATTCTTTAGTGATAAAACAAGCAATAGTGTAAAACAAATAACGTAACCCCGACATAGTTTTCATTACAAAGTACGATTGAAGTAAATACCTAAAACGATTGACAAATTCACAAGCAACGATATTTGCCTTCCTATGTTTTGGTAGGCCGTGTACAGCCCAGTGGTCAGAGACGCCCTGCAATACACATGGGATCGCAGGCCAAGATCACCAACCCACGGCACCGGGGTCGGCAAGTTGGTACTACACTAGTCTAGGAGGATAGCAGCACTGGCTCGATACATCGGCAGACCAGCGCGTGTCATTGTAAAGGCCAGATATGCACGCAATCACCTCCAACGATACTTAATGAAGTCGAATGCATCGCCCATTCCTCTGGTATTGATCAACGCTGGAAGCTTTATCCTTCTATCATTTATATTTTGGCACAAAATTCCTTTCACTCGTATTCGTTTTATCTTACATCAATTGCCACCATTCTTGAACAAACCGGCAGTAGTTTTTCTAATACATATTCTATAAGTGCACAACACGTGATATGTCCGTGAAGTACGTTACTGAGTGGTTACGCTTCATTGTATAACATGATGCTTGTTTGAAAATGAATAGTCTTTACGGACCAAAAGAACTTCAGTAGAACAAATTGTTCTAGCCTTCGAAAAATTTCATTTGAGGAAGAAATACCGGATGAAAACGTACGATATTGTAGATAATTCGAAATGAGATTGAAGCTAAGAAAGGTGAAAAGAGTTTGAGTGTATCTTTGTGAACATATTCCGCGAGCAACACTTTGTTAAAACATTTACAGAAAAACAACATAACCTTTACATTATACTACTAACGTCCCCTAAAAAAGATTGCGCACTTCGTCCCTTATTCCTTTCCACAATCAAAAGTGATATCTACCATCTGACTATTAATTGCCCTAGACACCGGTTTCAACCAGTTTCTCGAGAATCACGCTGGCAACCTGAAATACCAATAATTGTTAGGCGGCTGGATCAAATATGAAAGTTTTGAAATTTCCAATCTTGTTCAAGAAAACTACGAATAACCAAATAGTAAATCCTACTGAAAATAAGATTGTAAACAGAGGTACGAAGAATTTCTGCGCGTGGTAGCATATCACAGTTGTCGTATGCCATTTCTAGTTCGAACCGCTTCAACGCCGGAGCGAAAGAAATTTGCTCTGGAACGTCGGAAATGGCCGGAGCGACAACAAAACATGACGTGGTTCACGACTGTTACGTACCTACGAATATTCATGAACACTCCTATCCATGAGTGACCAATACTCCCATGAGTACTCGAAAACTGCCAGACATAACTGCTGAGGTTTCGAATCCATTAATAAGCTGCAACTGCGAACGAGTTCAATGGAATTTCGATGCGAAGTCGGAAATTTCAACAAATTCCGTTTACCTCCTTTACTTTTTTCATCAGGTGATGTTACTCCTCAGTGCAAGGAATATTTCACGTATAAAATGATGTACTTACTAAGGTTTGTTATAGATAGAAAGTTTTACATTATTGAACATAACCAAGCAAACCGAGCACTTTGGCCATAGCCAAAAATATGCATTGAAATCAATGCACATCAGTCATGATTTCGCTGTGTGGATATTTGAATCAATATGCATCACAGTGAATGTGTTAACATATTAGCTCGGTTAATACTTTGTCTGGCGGCCCCGTGAAAATACAACTACCGTTTCGTCAGCTGCGGATTGTGTTGAAAATAATTCGTGTTCTTAGCTACGATCTGCTACGAAGAAATCAAGCACCCGCTGCATTATCAGCAATCCTTGTGTCTACAAAGGACAATTAATCCCCACAAATTTGTACACATATTTGTACAGCAATGAAAGGGTAGCGCAGTGGCAGTGATACCGCGCATTATGCAAACGGTCTACCTATGCGTTGCTTCGACCCTACACCGGATGCACTAGGCCTCTCACTCCTCCAGAGGTGGGAAGATTGCACCAAACTTGTCTGGGCAAGCTACAGGCTCACTTTCCAATTCACATGAGGACACCTGAGCACAGCTATTTCAGGAATCCTGGAAAACCTTGAAATAGAAACGAAAAAGTCGGAGGAAAATGAGTCGTGTACGAACCACGTCGGAATGAATGGATTTGAAAAAATACTCACACAATTAATGTTTCGAACGGTAGTACTCGTCCAGCAAAGCCCGGTGAATTTCTTCAACAGATAAATTGCACTTCATAATGCGACAATTGCTCAACACAGCTCTTTTCGCTACAGCGAGCTGTCGTCCATCCAATCCCTGGCGTACAGCATCAGCCACTGCAGCTCGCAATTCACAGTCTATTTTAGCACGAACTGAACTGCAGCTAGAATGTGAATGACTTCTTTGTTTCGGCCTACGAGGATGTGGACAGGGCTCCATGAGGCGTTGAAAAATTTCTTCTATGCGATCACAGTTATATACAAAGGCATCTTTAGGAGTTTCCATCTCACGGGCCATTTTCAAGATTGTTTCGTCGGAAACGCGATCAGTTCCCCTTCGTGAATTTCTCTGTAGAGCATCTTCAACATTGCTGGCCACTACGATACAGCAGTAATGGAGGCTATAGTACGCCGCCATCCGTTCGAAAGGTCGTCTCATACTTTGAAGGTAGAAGTTGTCGTCAACAATAACCACTTTATTGAACTCTTCGTCACAATTGTTCTGCAAGTACAAACGCACTGTCTGCTCGAAGGACTTTCGACTCGCATGGGCGTCAAAATCATCCGACCAACGGCCGTTTACTTCGTCAAGTGAAAAGATCACAGAGTTAGGAAGAGCCTCCTCCAGTTTCCTGCTGAGTGTAGACTTTCCTGCTGCAGGTAGGCCCATGATCAACAAAAGAGCCATTAGAAATGGAGGGATCTAAAAAGGATCCCTAAGCAGATAACTTCACAACAACAAAGTAAATAAACGATTTCACTATCAAATCTATGACTAAACAAAGGATAAAGGATAAAGCTCTTGGCGTTCATCAATCCCTGTGGGATGCGGCATACATTCGACTCCATTACGTATCGTTGGATGTGATTGAATGCGTATATGGCCTTTACAATGACTCGCAGTGGCCTCCCGATGTATCAGGCCAGTGCTGCTATCCTTCCAGACAAGTCTTGTATCAGTCTGTCGACCCCGGACGGATGGAACGCTTGGTGGGCCACGGGCGTGGGAATCGATCCCAAGTGTTTTGCAGGACGCCTCCGACCAATGCGCCACATGCGTCCTAGGGGATTAAGCTCCCTCACTGATGATGTAAGCCTGAAGGAGAAAGGAAATAGACAGTCGAAAAGTACTCGTAAGAAATTCAACAGCATGTCTGAAATATGAAATGAGGGCGCGTGTAGCGCAGTGATCGCAGGCGCCCTGCGACACACACGTGACCGATCCATGCGCCCAAGGCTCACCAGGCCTTCCATCCTTCTGGAGTCGGCAAATTGGTAGCGGACTTGTCTGGGAGGATAGCAGCACTACCCTTATGCATCGATAGGCCACCATGAGTCATTGTAAAAGCCAAGTATGCATTCAATCACCTCCAACGATGCGCGATGAAGTCGAATGCATGGCGCGTCCCTCAGGGATTGACCAACGCCGAGAACCTAACCTTTTTATCGTTTTTTATCTGAAATATGGAATAAACTTTGCCATAAGAAAGTCTAGCAGGAACAAAAAAGGAAGTACACAGTGACGAACTCAGGAGATGAACAATCTTACCCGATTCGTTAAGGTTAGGAAATTCATAACAGTGTCAGGAACTACTATAATACTGAGATCGATAGAACTAGCTGAGAGACGGGCGAAACGAAGGACCCACCCGGTGTGGTGGTGAACGCGTTAGTCTCCGGAAAGTACAATAGCGCGTTGGTTCCCCACCGCAGACACCCGCGGTCCGTAGTTTCGCAAATATTTCAGCACTATAGTAGTTATATTTCGCAACACACGCTGCCGTTAAAAAGAATAGGCAGTAAATAAAAAGGTTAAGAGTGCCAGAAACGTTGTGCAGTGCGGAACAACGAATTCTCCGCTATTTTACAGACACTGATGACCCCACCTCTATACTCTCCGGTTTTCATTCTAGTATTGTCTAGGCTCTCCATACTAATAGAATGGATCCCATGGATGTAGATGTTGCTGCTGTTACCTTTTCTTCAATGAAAATCCATGGGTGAGTCAACCGCTCTCTGCTAAATGTAATATATAACTTCTACGTCTTGGATTATCACCTCTCAAGAAGACAACCGCAGAACCAAAAATCGGGTTTAGTAATATTTTCCCATCTTTGCTGAGCGTTATTTAACTCTGATAATGTAGCTTTAAATGAAGTTTTGCAGTGTACTAGTTGTCTGAAGATTTCATTTTTTAATCCTCTTAGGTCTAACTGGAACGTTTTGATTAGAATTACTTACTTACTTGGATACTTTGATGGCCCGTCTTCACTGGTTACGCAATCCCCAGTATAACTTCCAATGTTTCGGAGTTTTGCTGGTCTAGCTACTGTGGTTCCTTGGAGTCCCGAGGTCTACCACGCCGAAGTCTGTCCTAGGTCACCTACTAGGATGGTGGTGGATCATAGTACTGGTTTGTTCTTAACTGGGCTTCCCGATAGAAACACCGAACTCCTTCTCAGCTTGGAAGGCCCAAGTGAGGGATGAATCCCCTCGTTGTGCATCGCAGCGCGACTCCCAAGAGGACCTCCCAGCCACGATGAGGCCCTGAACCGTTGGGTGGTTTGATTAGTTCTACATGAAGAATTCGTGCCATATAGTACTCCGCTCATGTTGTCCATTTTCATAGGTAAAAGGAGTTATGATTAATTTGTATTCGCTGGCACTTATGTTTGTCTGATCACTTCCATACTCAGGTAGATGTGGTCCATCTTCATATGTCAAGACTTTGAGTACTTCTTTCATCAACTTTGTTTGTCCTGCAATCTCCCTTCCCGGTAGTGGTCGCAACAACCTATGAATTTAACGCCAGCTTGGCATCTGATTGTCGATTCTGGCTAGTATGCACCAACCTTCTGACTCCAACCAACATGTGAGCCCATCTTTTTGGAAGTCTACTTTGAGACTGTTTGGCCATTCGCTCTAGTATTCTTCCCGTTCATATCTTATGTTCTCTTTTCATTATACGAACAGCCCATCGATGTCTATTTTCTAATAGTACTTAGCTGTGTTTCCAATGCAGGGTAGTCTTCTCTCAGCCACATGATAATGATAACTGGCTTGGTGCTGCCCATCATTTGCTGCTAAACTATGCATTTGCTAACCATTAGTCTAGATACTGCTGCATATTTACCTCAATCATTGAAAGGTATTTCGACTCTTCGACTGTAATAATAAAGCACCACTTTCAGGCTAAAGGATTTAATTGGCTGCGATGACGTCTTTTCCATTGTTAACTCTGATGACGAAAATAAGTTCGCTAAATGTATAACAGTCCTTTGTGAGGAGCTGAAAGTGCTTTATAAGCTAGAGGAAGGTGTGCCAGAAAAGAAAGAAACTGATGGCAGCCTTGAATTCCTGTTTGAACTAAGCTCATTTCTTGGAGAATTGGGTAGGTTATTTGTTTTTTTTTCCGCAACTACCTTCTTAACTCTTTATTCGTTACCTATTACAATTTTTTACGGCAAGGTATTAAGTGGAATGAAATCATAATGATCCCAGATCAAGCTCCCCAGTTCAATCCCGTTGAAGGGTGATTGCTGGTGCCACTGGTAGACAGAAAACCAGCTGAGAGACAGGCGAAACCAAGGACCCGCATAGTGTGATGGTGAACGCGCTATCCCTCTGAAAGTGTATTAGCGTGTTCGATCCTCACCGCAGGCACCTGCTGTCCGGAAACGTGCAGATATCTCAGCCTCATTATGGTACAGCCTTTTTTATCCAGAAAAGATGCTCCGTCTGTGGGATCTCGTGAAAAATTTGGGTTTTTCGTAAGCTATTTTATCCATTGGTGGTATTGCTTACTTGAATCTTTCGATAGCCGCCTTTCGCGAGTTCTGTAGGGCTCAGTGTATTTGTTTGAGTTGCTGTTAATTTGGGTCATTTGTTTCGAGCATAGTGAAGTCTAAAACTATCGTTTTTCAGTTCACTGACGTTGTCAGTTACTATTATACCTAAAGGGCTTAAGCAGAAAGCTTCCTTCCGCCCATCACCTGTATCTCCTGTAAGTCCCGTTGATCGTCCAGTTACTGGAGCGGACACCAGTAAATCTTCCATTCTTTTCTGTCGCGTGCAAGAGCAGCCCAGTGGGTTTTTCTCACTCTAGGTACTTGTTGAGCGTCATATCAATCTTCATCAAGGCTCTTTGTGAAGAACTCTGACCATCGGGTCGGTGGTCTTCCTGAAGTAGGCTTGTCATCCCAAAGAATCCAGTCGCTAACGCCTCTTGTCCATCGGTTGTCATTCATACGCATTACGTGTCCGGCTCACCTTTTGTTCGACTGTTTGGCATTCTTTGATTTTTGATCGTTGACGCAGATCGGAGCTTCGGATCCCACTCCTTAATGTGTGGAACGGGTTACTTCTAGCATTGTCCTTTCGACTGCGCGTTCGATAACGCTGAGTGACCTTTCATCCTGCTTAGGCAGCGACCAGGTTTCTGACACATACGCTAGGGCAGGAAGTGCCGCTGAGTCGAAAAGGTGGGCACGGAGTCGGGTGTTCCTTGTTCTCTTCACTGCATCCGCGATGCTCTTGAAAGCTCCCCAGGCAGCTCTTGAAAGCTCCCCAGGCAGCTTGTTTCCTTCTGCACAACTCTGAAGCTAAGTCGTTCAACATGTTGATTTCCCGACCTAGATAGATATAACTGGAGCATTCGAAGATATTCGTTCCGTTGAACGTGAGTGGGGCATGCGAAACCAATCCGTTCTTCATGAACATCGTTTTTGTGAGATTTAGTCGAAGACCAATCTTTCCACAGGCTTTATCAAAGTCGTCAAGCATACGTTCCGCTTGGCTAATGTTTGGTGTTATAAGAACGATGTCATCAGCAAAGCGAAGAAGGTGTAACTCCCGACCATCGATTTTCACTCCCATATTATCCCACTCTAATGTTCGCGTGACGTCCTGGAGGGTGGCGGTAAATAATTTTGGCGAGATGGTACCGCCTTGCATAACTCTTCTTTTCACGTCAATGTTAATATCGTTGTGAAATGGTGATACCTTGGTTGTGAAATTTTTGTACAGCTCACGAAGAATCTTTATGTACTGAGTAGGGACTCATTGACTATCAAAGGTTTCCTAAACTGCTTCTCTCTCAACTGAATCAAAGGCCTTCGATGAAAATGAGACAGAGCGGTCTTCTGTTCTGTCGCGATACTTCAATGATCCTTGTTACCGTGTGGATGTGGTCCATCGTACTAAATCCTTTTCGAAACCCTGCTTGCTCACATGGCTGTCCTTCGTCTAGTGTTCTGTCAATTCTGTTTAGGATAACTTGATTGCAAAGTTTGTAGACGACAGACAGTAAACAGATTGGGCGATAGTTACCGATATCGTTTAGGTCACCATTCTTGAACAATAACGCGGTCTTGCTGGTCTTCTACTAAGTAGGAATCTTGCATTCAGAGAGGTAACGTGAGAAAAGCCGAGCCAGTGTGCTTACGAGGACTGGCGGAACATCCTTCAAGTGTTCTGGTCTCATCCTGTCCGGAACTGGTGCTGTTCGATTTTCCACCGACGAAATGGCATGCCAGATTTCGGAAAGGAGAACCGGTGGTACAACATATCCATCTTTCTTTATTTCATATGGTCGAAGGTGGACGTGGCTATCGAAGTGATCTGAGTAGTACTCGTGACTGATTTTCTCCATCGCCCTTCTGGACGCTGTAA